TCACCTTAGCTAACTAGCTGCTAAAGCTGAAATGGTTCTCACAAACCCAGGAAATCCATTTAAAATCTCGCTAGCAGCTGGCGGGAGCTTTTCATATGTTTAAACTAAAAAGTATGAAAACAGAGACACATTTTATGGATCATATACAGTGGGGCAAAAAAGTATTTAGTCAGCCACCAATAGTGCAAGTTCTCCCACTCAAAAAGATGAGAGAGGCTGGTCATTTTCATCATAGATATACCTCAACTATGAGAGACAAAATGAGAAAAAAAAAATCCAGAAAATCACATTGTCTGATTTTTAAATGCCTGAATGCTGAAGATCTGCCCTACACCACAAAAGCCTAAAGTATAAAGATGAATGTTTGTTGGATGTGTATAATTATGTTGTCATGGAGCTCTGTTGTCTGGACTAATGATGAAAAATTAGACAGATTTTTTTCTGTAACAAAAAAAAACAACACATTTATAACAATCTGATGTCATATTATGAAGTTGTAGTCTTCATTTTCCTTCTGTTAAGAAAACAATTACTATTTCTGTTATGTATGCCCGTATGCAGCCATCCCTTTATTATTTGAGCAGGCCTATTTAGGCTCATAACTCTAACGTTTTACATATTGAGCTGCTGCAGTGTTTACCGTTATTGTCTTTGTTTCACATAACCACAAAGGATTTGTTAAAGGAAATAGATTTACCAGGAAATAGTCTGGGTGGTTCAGGAAAAAGTGATGTTTTTCCTGTAAACACAAACTGAGGAGATTCAAATGGGTCAACATGTTAGGTGTCCTTTTTTTCCAAATTTTTTCCCCCAATATAAAAACTATACTTTTAACAGAGGGAGAATTCCATATTTAAGCATTATAATAAAAAAAACAAATGCCAGCTAATAGTGTTTTATATGTATATCAGGGTTTTTCTTTTTTTGGTGTTATATTGTTTTAAAGGTAGATAAAATCAGTAAGGGTAGAGTCTATATTAAAACTCATCTCAAAATGAGCATCAGATAAGAAAACTCATTTTGAGAGTTTGACCTGCCGGGATTTTTGTCCTCGTTTATGTTCTGGTTTTGGCGTGAGCCTGAGGAGATTGCCTTGTCTTCCAACTCTGGAGTCATAAATCATATGTTATTTTCATTCTGATAAACCAGTTTTACTCACATGCCTGGAAGATGTCTAGTGCTACTACCACATATGATCTCGCTCTCCAAATGGAATTGAACGATTCAGATTAGCTAGCCGAATGAATAGAAGGGGTAGAGCGTAGCCGCCTGTGGCCCGGGCTGCCTGTCACAACTCCAGTCCGGTGCACGGATGACGTCATACGCACTCCGCTTAAAAAAAAAAAAAAATTAATATAAAAAATATAACCGCAGATGTCTGGGGGACAGTGATTCGCCTACATGTTATGAATGCTGGCGTACCATAAAGAATAAATTATGAACAGTTCAGTTTGTTCCTTCAAGTTGTTGCCCATAGGAAGACGTTACTTGGATATAACAAAACAGAATATCTTCAGAACAGCTCCAAATGACACAAAACTCATATGGGTGAGTAGAACATGATGTAATAACGTAAAAAAAAAAAAAAAAAAAAAAAACGGCATTCCCCTTTAAGAATCATTGACTCTCCTGCAACATTTTGCCGAATAACTTCATTAACAAACCTAAATGGTTGATTAGCAGGAAGCTAAAGCTATTTTTAATATGAATCCATATATGGTATACTGAACAGTAATGCACTGATACCATTTTGAGAGCCAAAAGTTTATTAATCTATGTCACCACTTCCAGGTAGGCAATAAAAAATTCTACTTGATTCACTTTGTATTAGTCTTTTTCCTGCTTCACAAAGGTAGGCAGCAGCTTGACAAAGCCATGATGGATATTATTTTACATCCAAGTACTATGCAGTTCTTCATATATATATATATACATACATACACACGGTGTCTGTATTGGTGTCCGGTATCTGTATTGGGGCCAAAAAATGGCATTGGCACAACACTAATAATGAAAGTTGCTGATGATTTTTTTTCATGTTTGAGTAAAAAATAAAAAGTAAAAAAAACAAGAAAAAGAAAATGATTTGTTTGAGGTCACATCCTTTAGAGAGCGTTTGTTCATGTTGGACATCTGTCAATGATTTGTTTCTCACCTTTAGATCCTGTAGTGTAATCTAAGAGAGCGTCTAGATGCAGGTCAGTATGGGGCCTCTGTGTGCCGTCTTATTTATTTATATCATAGGGCAGATGCTTCCATAAGCTGAAGCAGCTGGGTGGAGTTTTAGCATCTTCTTCAAAGGGATGAAAGAGGAAAACAATGTTGAACCCACATTCATCCTCCCTCTGTATTTTATTTTATTTTTTTGCCAACATTAATGTGCCAGAAGTTTCCTCCAATACTTCTGATTCTTCAGGACCCCCAGCTTGAGTTGCCCTCATCTTGAGCTGCTATTGCTATTGCAATGGATATGTGGTATGAAGCGTTTCTGTCGTAAACTCTATGATTTTGATTTTTAATAAGAAACGCATGTTAGTATCTCATTTATGGCTGGAACTATAGATCAATTTGCTAATCATATTTGTTTACTACTTTCTGATTTGACTCTTAATCTGACAAAAACATTAATAAATAGGTTTTACAGAATTTAAACGAGGTGAAGCTAACTTAGACTAATATTATTGTCAATTTTTATGCATAGCGTGTATACAGAACAATATTGAGTTGCATGTGGTGCAGGACATTGTATTCAAGTTCCAGTGAAATTAAAGCACATTATTGAGTGCAGGTAACCTGTCAGATAAGGAGTTCTGGATAGAGCAAATGTTCCTAGTTGAATAAAGAATCAATTTTTGTACAGTTTCAGCTTATTTACCAGTAAGCTGGCTCTTATAGTAAATGGTGTTTTATAGTGTCTGAAAACCCCAAGTGACGCTTATTGAATTACTTAATGAACGTGAGAATTCTCGCTAGCACATTTAAACGCAGGGGGATGTAGTAATGAAAGTTTTCAAAATTACCCTCTTTCTTTATTAGCCTAACAGCTGCAGAAACAATGTTTTTAAACACATTTTCAAATATATATGAGAAACCTGTTTGTTTGAGGTCCTGCAGTTAGTACTACATGTTTAATACGCTGTCATAAAGTCCAACTCCATCAAAAAACATTGTGTTGCAGCTCCTACCTCCTTTTCTTAGCTCCTATCCCTTCACCTGTAGTCAACAGTAAGAATGCTATCCAAGGTGGAGCTCCTGGACTGAATCCAGACAGCCTTCAGCCTGACAGACACCATTACATGACAGGCACGCACGTGGAAGATGCCCCTGAAATTAGGACTACAATAAAACTACAAAAAGTTACACAGCTTTAGTGACCGGCTGAAGCTATCCTTTATCAAGTGTGTACATTAGCAATCATTGCTTATGGTGTACGTAAAGACGTCATATATTGATGTTAAACTTTTAGGTGGGTTGTGCTTATATGTCGTATGACGCAAATGATTGTGGATAACCGTATATCTTCTAGGCACCAGATTGGAAAGTCGATCCCTGCATTCTATAAACCATTAATCCTGCTTCCTTTCCCTATCTCCTACCTTAATGACAGCATTATTCAGACAACATTTATGGTGACCTCTGGTGCACGCCCACTTTTGTTTAAGTGTCCTTATCGATTTGTACTATTTGGATCAATCCACTTACACTGATACACATGTGTTTACTTGCGGGTGAACATTTTGCACTCCAGCCAGCAGACAGGGAGCGCAAACATTTGAAGGCAGAGGTGGGGTGGACATGTTAAAAGGTTGAGAAGGGTTCCCAAAAGGCTGTAAAGCCATGAAACAAACATAGATTTTATCAGTCTAACTTCAGTTCACTTTACTATGTCATATTATTGTTCATTTTTTTAATTCCACTTTAATATTGATGTTTATTATTTATATTGCTGGCTTATTGCCCCATGCGATATGCTTTTGTTTGTTTTCCCGTTATGTTTCTTTTTTGTTACATACAGCGTTTTAAATTATGAAATTGCTACTCTGCTAAATAACCTTGTCCTATTTAGATACCAATTATTCCACTATCTGACCAATCAAGATTAATTTGATTAACTGTTTTAGGCCTACTGTCATGCGCTGGGTGCAGCCTGACAAGTCTGGCTCAGGATCAATTAAAAAAAATGTGCTACTGCAGGGAAAATGTACTTCCTAAATAAAATGTGTGCAGTGTAACTGACGTGAATAAACCTGACGGGCCAGAGATTTTATTTCAAAGCTGAATGGAAACCCAAACTCCCAGATATTCTCCCGGATTTGTTGATCAGCAGTTGTAAATTTAAACTATGTCTAATAAACTGTTTTTTTTTTTACTAATAGAATGGAGACAAATTGTATTTATTATAAAATCAAACTGCTGCATCCCTAACGTCTGTGGGAAAATAATCTTCAAATTCATATCAAGGACGTTTTCAAGTGTTTCTTAAATGGCAATGTTATATAAATAGACTTCTCTAAACACTAAAGGACCTGATGAATTGCTTTTGTGTACTATTTATGTTGTCGTGAAGCTAATGAGCATGTCTGCTCCCAGCAATGTATGGCAGAAAGTTATCTGGAACAAATCCCATTCAGACCCTTAAGCAAATGGAGATTATTAAAATGCATTGGTTTTTCTTTGAGTAGTTGAAGTTTATTTGGAGCTGACAGCACAGTGAATGTTGCTCTTATGCGTATCTCAGATTGCTTTGCAGGAGTCGGTAAACAGACTTCAGTTTTGTGGTTTTTGTTGCCTTTGGATGTGTGTTTCCAGTCGTGCTGCTGGTGAACCTGGTGGACATCAGCTCTACTAATGATGGGACTGATAGGTAGTCTCAACATGGAGCGCTCTTCATTACATTAATAAAGAGACAGGTGGCTGTTCAGCATCTCTCTCCTCCTTCAAAGGGACTTTGAACCTGCAGGACCCCCAGTAGCTAATATTTCTTTCCTTTTTTTCTGCAGGGTGTGCTAAGGTGGGAGGCATCCACTTCCCGGAGGAACTGCCCTCTGTTGGTGGCGCTTCCCACGTTCATTTTGACGAGAAGCTTCATGACTCTGTTGTCATGGTAAACATGGAGGATGACGGCAACTTCATGGTCAAGGTGGGGTGAATGCAGTTTGTTTATGAAGAAAATTAAATATGTAGAAATTTTGGAAAAAGACTCACAGACCAACCATAAACCAATGGCTGCAGCAGATGTTACCTGTTCTCCCTCTGGAAAAAATGATGTTTATATTAAAGAACAAACAGGACCTGTTGGAGTCTATGTGGAATTCCTTCATTAATTATGTTAAGAATTTGAATATCTCAGAAGACGGTGTAAGTGATTGAAGAACATGTGAACTGCAGTTCCCAATTTATTTGAGTAAATTTAATTCTCAGTATAAGAGGTTAAGTACGAAACGTGATCAGTTGCATTGGAACCAATATTGTGTGAGACAATCTGTTGTTTTTGTTTGTATTTTATTTTAAACTGCTAAAATTTTAATAAATATATTTTGGGGAAAAAAATATGAGAATATAAGAGCTGAATATCTCTTTAAAATTTCACTAATTGGCTGCTGTAACAACTTTTCCATAAAAATATGGTTTATATTCTGATTGGTTCTAAACTGTTTCCCCTGACTCCGTTAACGCCTACGTTTGAGATCAGGCTCTACCAGCTCCTTTTCAGATTGATACACCATCACAGCATTGCTGGCTAGGATACAACCAGTGAGGTATTTTCTTTTAGCCTTCAGATGCATTAATACGTGCACAATTGTGCACGTGTGTATCCACCTACATGAGGATGCAAGCTCGATGGATGTGAGGGCGATGCACCTATTATCTATCATCAGTGAAAGCAGGATGGATATTAGAAGAGAGAGGGTTGTTCATCCTTGGTCTAATAAAGGTGAAAAAAGTCTAAAATATCTAAAATCTAAATATAGGAAGATGTTTCCTGATCTCTGAACACATTTGAAAACGATTACCTATTTTTTTGTTTTGTTTGTTTAGACTAAATTTGGATGTCACCTATTAGCTGAAAAATCAAACTTTCAACTTGGGATATTCCGATCCTGATCTTAAGATCAGATCAGCCACATTAGCTGATGAGTCGTGCCTATGTTTACGGCAACTTCCATAAAGTACCCGCTAGTTACGGTAGCTGTGCAATACAAACCTTCATGGCGGTGCAAATCAAGCATGTCAGATGGGTGAAAATATATAACTTGGAGATATAGAGACCATCCTAAAGCTACTTGCAGTGTCTGCAACATGGCAATTTAAAGAGAAGGTTGCATTAGAGCTACATCTAACACCGCTAACTTGATTCGTCATCTGAGAACAAAACATGACGATGTGTACTTAAAGCTGCAGATGGAAAGGTTGCTAAAGCAAAGCAATAAACTGACTTTTTGAGGAGAGACAAATACTCCAATGAAAGCAAGAGGGCAAGATGATTACAGAAAAGTTGGTCAACATTTGTTTTGTTGACGACCAGCCTATCTGAGTGGCAGAGAATGTCGGACTTAGACGTCTGCTGGAAGTTTTGGACCCGTGCTATGCGACAAAGTAAAAGAAACAATACAATGTCCCTTGAAGCGGATTGTTGCTGTTAGTTTCACTACGGATATTGGGAGCGCAGACGTTTACCCAATGTCCCTACTGAGCTTCACGGCACACTGGTTGATCCCAAAACTTATGATTTATGAGCGTTGGTCTCATAGCAAAACATGTCAGACAAGCCATGCTGTACCAAGTCAGTGCTTTGATTTTTACTTTTGTCTGAAATATTTAATGAAGTCTGAACTTCGAGTCTGCCCTTTGTAAGATTCTAAATCTGTAAGATTTTGATTTCTAAGGATTTACAATAATAAAATGAAATTATTAGTTTTATAAAAAGTTAAGTTACTCGCTCAAAATATATTTGAGTTTTATACATTTCATTACCAGAGGCAAAATATCAGATAGGGACTCAAAATAGGATTTGATATGAGGTTAAAAGATTGGATTTGGATCAGAGGCCTAAAATGATCCCCACTCTCCACTTCTTTTGCTGTACTAAATAGAGACGAAGCATTTAAGTGCCTTTAAGAGTTTATCAAAGCACTCCCAGTGTGTCTGCATAACATTAACAATCCTCTTTCAGCAGAATCCAGAGGACGGTCTGATGGAAACAAACAACCACTGATCAAGATGTTGAGAGCTTTGTTTAAAATATCTTAGTTAATGTTTGTCTTTTTCATGCAGATCTCTGAACTTTAATCCTAAATAGAAGCCAGATTATTCCTTGAACTTCTAAGTTTATAGTTTTATTATCATCCAGTTGATGCGCTGCTCTCAGCTGAATCTATAAACACTGATTGTTAACCTGTTTATAACAACAAAGTGTTGATAGAAAATCTTCCAAGTAGTAAAACTGTTCATAAATACAGATCGGAGCAAGTCGAGATTTTAAATAGCAACTAAAATGGAAAGTTGTTAAAGCTAAACAGACTGGTGAGAATGAATGTATGCAAAAATAAAAAAGATAAAAGTAGTGATTCATGCGGTTATTCCACTTCCCTGCTATAATGACATGACTCTGGGGTGGTTATCTGGCGAAAGAGACAGACTGGTCTATATGTGCGTCCCTGTGTGGCATGCTTTCTAATCTGAATGAGATGTTTATAGATAATGCTTTGATCCAATGAGCCAATTTCTGCAGTTTCCCTGAAAATGGAGTGGTCCTATCTGGGAAGCATCCAGGAAAAGATTAAACTCTTCTTATCAGCATTAATCTCTTCTGTTGGCTACAAAGGCTTACAACAATGATATCAAACTTGTCTGATGTCATTTCCTAAACCCTCTTAGTGCTAGAGACGGTAGCCAACCAGATGAAGGGAGCAAACCGTAAAAAAAAATGAATAGAATAATGCAAAGCTTTGTCCTAATAGCAGATGTCATGCCTGTTTTTAATTTTCAGCAGGGTTTTGTTTTGTGTTTCCGGTTTGTACCAGATCCAAAGATTGTAGTGCCTTGGAGAAAATGTTCCACTCTTTTTTTATATTTTCCAGTTTTTGTTAAATTAGAACAAGCTTCAGTGAGTTTTATTTGGATTTTAAGTATTTCTGCTGCAGAAAATTGACACTGGAGCGATCATAAGCTTAGAGCCAGAGACTGGATGCTAAATGCAGCTCACTTAACGTTCTCAGCTCATGAAGTTAAAAAAACTTTAAGATAAATAATTTTTTTTTATTTTTTTTATCTGTGTTGACCAAGGGAGAACTAGATCATGTCCAAATGAAAGCCAAGAGGGTCTTTAATATAATAATAAACATTATATACTATAGATCAGGAGTGGCTACAGCTTTCAGAACAAGGTTTTCACTTTTAACTGAGTATTTTAGTTTAAAAATGTCAGATTTTGCCTTCTTCCCACAAAGATGGTTGACCCACATCTTGTCTCATATAAGAGCCATTTAAAACCGTCAGGTTGAGAAGGTATTCAGGTCGGGGAAAGGTTAGATAGTAGGAAATGTAGAAAAGAGCAAATATCTTACAGGAACAGATTTCACTACAAATGGGAGACCAGGCTCAACAGTGAAGCTTTTTACAAATCAAAGATCTGTTTATGTGTCTGTAGAAATATTTTTCTTTAAAACATTTTTCTTTATTATCTAATGAAGTAACCAGACATGAATGCTCAGGAATTGTACACATTTAGGGGTAGTGTGACGTTTAGAAATGATTACTCACATAAATATACAGGTATATGTAAGTATAGCGCAGTAAAACTATCCTAGATGTAGAAACATGTTGCAACGTGTCGTTTAAGTCACAAGCTAGCGTAATAATCCCCCCGTTGATTCTGATACGTTACCGATATTCCAGCTTTGAGATTGATTCAGTATGAATCATACATACTTTTACCGCTTATTTTGTGTGTGTCATCTTTGGTCACTCTAAATGCAAAGCGGTCCCATATAGCAGACCTATAAAGTGCTGCTGGCGCATCTTCCAACTCCTGTTCTTTCCCACTCGCCATACCCACACAATTCTCCACAACAACTGATTTTTTTCTGCTACACCCGGCTACGCTGCTTCGCTTCTTCTTCTTGTTTACTACTGGTGGTTGGCTTTGGTCGCAGTACCGCCACCTTCTGCTCTGGAGTGTACACGCTTTGCCTATGAGAAAATGGAGCCGCGCATGAACCGAACGCAGAGATGAGACAGTCGAACCGAACGGTTCAGACGGTTTTCATAAACCGTTTTCATAAACCGTTCCATCCCTATATATATATATATATATATGTATATGTATATATATATGTATATATATCTATATATATGTATATATATATGTATGTATATACACTATATTGCCAAAAGTATTTGCTCACCCATCCAAATTATTGGAATCAGGTGTTCCAATCACTTCCATGGCCACAGGTGTATAAATTCAAGCACCTAGGCATGCAGACTGTTTTTACAAACATTTGTGAAAGAATGGGTCGCTCTCAGGAGCTCAGTGAATTCCAGCGTGGAACTGTGATAGGATGCCACCTGTGCAACAAATCCAGTCGTGAAATTTCCTCGCTCCTAAATATTCCACAGTCAACTGTCAGCTGTATTATAAGAAAATGGAAGTGTTTGGGAACGACAGCAACTCAGCCACGAAGTGGTAGGCCACGTAAACTGACGGAGCGGGGTCAGCGGATGCTGACGCGCATAGTGCGAAGAGGTCGCCAACTTTCTGCAGAGTCAATCACTACAGACCTCCAAACTTCATGTAGCTCAAGAACAGTGCGCAGAGAGCTTCATGGAATGGGTTTCCATGGGCGAGCAGCTGCATCCAAGCCATACATCACCAAGTGCAATGCAAAGCGTGGGATGCGGTGGTGTAAAGCACGCCGCCACTGGACTCTAGAGCAGTGTAGACGCGTTCTCTGGAGTGACGAATCGCGCTTCTCCATCTGGCAATCTGATGGACGGGTCTGGGTTTGGCGGTTGCCAGGAGAACGGTACTTGTCTGACTGCATTGTGCCAAGTGTAAAGTTTGGTGGAGGGGGGATTATGGTGTGGGGTTGTTTTTCAGGAGCTGGGCTTGGCCCCTTAGTTCCAGTGAAAGGAACT